CTGTTAGACTACTGCTTTTCTGCTGGGGAAGGAGCAGAAAACATGTGAGGATGTTACTTCCAGTTAGATTGTGCTTGCTGTATATAATTGCTGACACAGGGCTTTCTTTTGCAGGTTTTTGACGATTGTCATGAAGGTGGTGAGATTTCTCCATCAAACTGTATTTATATGACGGAGTGGCTGGAATTCTGAAGTGAAAGAAAACTGTAAACTGGACTTGTGCTTCACAGCCAAGGCGACAAAGCAGCTTGCTTTTTTAAAAGTGAACTTCTAAATTTGTAAGCAACTTCAGGACATGGAGTGACTTGTTTTTAATGAAACATAAAGCAGCAACGTGTCAGTTGCATGAGCAGTCCTGTGAGTGGACTGGAAATCGAGTTAGCACTGAAGATCAAAGCGCTGAAGTGGAAATGTAGATCCATTCTTGTACCAAAAATCGTTTGTGTGACTTCAAAACTGCCATAGAACAGCTGGGTGGTGATGCACTGCTTCCAAGGATTGTGCCAAGTACTCCACAGATGCTCATTCTGAATGCGATAAAATAAGTCATTAGCATTTTCTGGTCATCTAATGAGTGTTGCCAAGAATGAGATCCCAAACTTTGCTTTCAGACTAATGCTACTGATAGGTGTGTAGGTCCTAAAGCTGACACTTTTCTCCCATAATAGCTACCATCTAATTGAAGACTAAGAATCTGACTAGGAAGGACCCTAAATATGTCAAACAGAACTCACTGATTCTTTATTAACTTTCTTATATGCTGATTTATCATTAAACCCCTAATTTTTCTCATGTACATCTGTGCTTCACTTCCTCCATTGCTGCCATTGCCTGGTGATGCATCTGTTGTATTTATTCCTTCATCTGACAGCTACAAGATCATCATCAAATGTGTTGGTGTGTTCTGGCAGCTGCATCATGTACGTCAGCTGAGATTTTGAGTAGTAGTATTCTGGGAAGATGTGTTTGCCAGAATAGAAAAAGAGTTCCTGGTCTGATGGTACAGGGAAGATTTTTATAGATTTTCTGATACCATCAGACTTGAAAAAGATGCCAGTGACAGTTGTTTGTATCTTGGTTTGTAATCTGAGAAAGGTATGATACTGGCACCATCTTCTCTTCCTGTGCTGTGGGGCCAATTTGTGTTTCACTTAAGTGTGACCTCTCTGGCTCCTTCTCTCTGTGACTCTGGACTGATGAATTGGCAATAACATATAGGCTGTGGTGGTGTCGTAAGCCTCATGCCTACGGTAATCCGGACCATGGACCTCTTGAGAGACCTATGTCTAGTTTCCTCTGGCTATCGATGTCCATATGGCAGTATTAGAGGGGTGATACTGCCTTTGGAAAATGTCGGTTCAAATCCCACTTGGAAGTAAACAGATTTTTGTAGCAACTATGTTATGCTACTTTGTTACTCAGTCTCTTCCGTAATGTATAATCAAGCAAAGTCTGGGGAAAAAAAAAAGTCAGCTCCTTTTTCGTAAGTGAGAATATTGTGCATATATGATACAGCCAGCTCCCCATCTTCCAGCATAACACAGGGCTGGAATTAAGTACTGTCAGGCAGAGCAGTGTAACACATGAACTGTGCAGGGACATTCTGGTCCTGGTACAACTTGCTACCTGTCACTTAGACTTGCTCCATCTTTACACAACTGCTGGGTATCTTCATGGTAGCCTCCCAGCACTGGGAAACAATTAGCGGGACAAGCACAACACTGGGCCTGTTGCATCTAGCTAGTTTCAAAATTCCCTGTCTGAAAATAAGCCCTCCTGGATACTGTGTTGGGAGGGCAATGGTCAAGCACTTCCACAACAGAATTTTCAGCATGCCAGGTAATCTGACCACAAGTAGTAAACAGTAGGCTAGAGAGAGATTTTGGAAGACAGTTCACCTAGTAAGAATGGGAGACTTTACATCAGCTATTTCAATACTGTCCAGGAGTTTGCACCTTCTAAAAGCACTCTGGATCCCATAAAGTGTTCAAATCTTGCTCGATTCCTGTTTCGCAATTTGCAGCGTGGGTTGTGGACAGAAGGCTAATGGTGTACTGTGCTGTACAAAGAATAATTAAAAAAGTTTCCTGTCCCGTACAGGGGTGGTATAGATGCAAAAGCTCCTTGTTTGCAAGTAGGCATGCAGTCTGACTGGAACAAACAACTAGGACTGATAAGCTGGCATGTCCATGAGAGGAGTTTGATTGTATTAGCTAGTGAGAGCACCCACAGGGGCCTCTTTCTTTTGTTGCAGCGTTTTCTCGAGGTGACAGGGGTGTGTATCTCTACAGAGGCAGAAGAGCTCTTGAGATGTGGAGGTGAAATGATCAAATATTTTTTCTTTTTGTGCCCCTTTTAACCATTCAGCACGCCGAAGCCTGAGAAAAATGCTGCTTGCTTCACTGGAGGGAGCCTTCTCCTCAGCTTCAGATATCTATTATGTGGCCAGAGGTAATTTCATTGAGGTAGTGTCCTGGTTTCAGCTGGGGGCTGGGATTGCCTTTGTCCTCCTGCGTTCAAAGAGGACCTAACACAATGGGGTCCTGAATCCTGCTGCTGCAGAGATAACACGTTGTTTGTGTGCTACTGCAGCTAGAAGATAGCTTTCAGGGAAACAACATGTCTTTATCATCCAGGTATGTCACTTTATGCAGTGTAACCATATTAACTGGCAATAAGAAAAAGGAGAGCGAGCTTGTCCTCAGTGAACAGCTTTAGGGAGTAGAGAGCTGGCTTATTAAGCTCTTTAAATTCTGGCTCATTTGTATTTGGTTTATCTGGTTTAGATGACCTTTGTGGTCTCTGAAGCTTCTTAAGTTGTTGCAGCTGTAACCAGACTTCTCAAATTTGGAAAAAAACATGCCTATAAAGAAAAGTAAAGCAATTTCAGTTTCCTATCTGTAAAATAGGAACCTGTCTGATCTATTTCTAAATGAATTAGAGGAATGAGATCTTTCTGTGACTGGTTCTTCAGGAACCTGGCTAATCTATCAGCCTGTATTCATTTTTAAAATGGAAGTAAGGGCTAAAAGGTAACATTACTGGTCTAAACTTTTTTTCCTTCCCAAGTTCCTTCAGTTTCTCTTCTACCTGGCAAAGCTGTCCCCTTTACAAACTGGTATAAAAGGTAGTTCTTGTTTTATGAATTGTAAAAATGTAAATTTTGAGGAAGCTACAGTCCTAGCTCCAGTACTGAATATGAGAACACTTAGGTGTAGAAAGCTGAGCGCTAAAGTTAACTCTCAGAACACGGATGACTGCTTGGAACCATGATCTGCTTATTACTTTATGCAAGCCTCATATGAGAGGTCACAGTTCAGCTGCCGCAGGACCACGAGGCACCTCTTGCGTCGGAGAGCTCAGCCCATTACTGGGAGCCCTGGGGTGTGCAGACCCTGCTGTGAACTTACCAGGCAGTCCCAAGTGACTTCCTCACTCCTGGTAAGCGACTGTTCAAAAGCAAGTTGGAGGGTGGTCACACCCAAATGCCATTGTCACGTGGAATCAAGTGCAAGATTGCTTTTTATTTCCGAGAGAAACATTAACTACAGTGCCAGGCTGTGTTGTGAATTGAGGGAGAATACAGCTGGCAGGTACTGTTTAACATGTCTAGTCTTTACAGTTCAAAGTTTAAAACATTAATGGCAAACTTGAAGCTTTGGTAGTGAAAACATTTATCCCGTGGCTGAGTGGCTATTCGGTTTTTCCTGTTGTTTTTTTTTTTAATGTATTCTGATAATAACTCTTGCCCCTGTTGGAGGTGTTAAGCGAGATCGCTGTTCATCTGGTGCTGTTCGAGTGCCATCTTCTGTCTTGTTGTGGTACGGCTACCCTAGGGCTCGGGAAAGAAGAGAAAGCTCTCAAGCCCTGCCCTGGTTTCCTGTTTTGACTCTACAGAGGCAGAGCAGTTTTTGGGAAAAAAAAACAGCGACTGGGGCAGCTGGGTCTCCTATTGCTGCCAAACACTTTATGCTTTGAAATAGGGTATAGACACCTTAAACAGTGCTGTCCACCACCACACACAGACCACCTTCTCCTTTTGCTTCATGTGGCTGGGACTGTATCGTTACATCGGTGAGAAATGGGTAGCCAGGCACTAAGCCCAGCTTACCCTGCAGCCTGGAGGGGACAGAAAGGTTCTGTGAGAGCTCCACGGGTGGTGTCCAAGTTTTTGTTGAAAATATTCACTTCCTACCTGAGAAAGTTAAGTATTGCATTTCCCGCACTCTTCAGAAGATCCTGGGGGGAGTGGGGAGGAGGGGAAGCGGAGCTCAAAGCATTCTCCTCTTTCAGTTGTTAAACACAAAACAAGTTTGGGCTTATGAAGGTAGCCTGTGTTTTTCCCTCTCTCTTGCTTTTTGAGCAAGCTTGCGATGGTTCCAGGAAAACAGAAGAATGCAAAAGCTTTTACTTTAGTTATTTAGTGTAGAAACACAAGGCTTTAGGATTTTGCTCCTCTTGCAAGCTCACAATAGTTGCTCAACGTTTTAATTAATCTAATGCTAGTAAGGTGGGTGCAGCACAGTCTTGGAGACCTGGGTCCCACTAAGGCACTGTACTTTGCTTTTGCGATGTGGCTGTATGGGGAAGATGCAAAATTAAGGATAAACTAGAAGAGCAGATTTGCTTTGCCTCATACTGATATTGCTTGGAAAGCAAGTCCTGGGTCTGAGGATGTTAACAATAGTAATAGTTTGAGTTTTATACACTTTAGCATATAAGCATAGGTAGCATTCTTCTACTTTCTTATTCCCGCTGAATTTGTGATCTTTCTGCTCATGTTCAGATTTTACACATGCAAATTTAACCCCTGCAGAGCATGCAACTTGCCTTATGTTAGGAAAGTGGGAAGGCAATATTAATGTCCAGCTCAGAAAGCATTTCGTTTTGCTTTGTTTTGGATCTGGAACATTGCTCTCCACTGTTAGATGCTTTAGTAGAAAATATACCTTTTCTGCCCTGGGAAGAAGGAATGAATGGCTCTTGGTTAAAGCATTTTCCTAAAGCATTCCCTGGATAATGCCAGTGTCCCTGTGGAATTCAGTGTTCTGAAAATGGCCCCTATCTGTGTACTTAATGCAGTTCTGCTCCATATCTGTCAGCCAGTTCCTTCTGTCCATTCCAGGGAAGGGAAGAAGGACTGACAACAGACCCAAACTCTGCAATAGTGCAATGGCAGTTTCATTGGATCTCCTTCCAGTGCCAGGGTCTATTGAAGTATCTTGAGGGTCACAGAGAACAGAGTTGAAAATGTTGTCCTTCTCTTCTCAATGGTTTGTTTAACTTCTTGCTATTTCTAGTGTAAACAAACTCTTAGCACAGACTGGGAACTGGGAGCAGTCACAGATTTTTACAGGTGCTTGAAGGCTGAGAAGAGATTGCCTTTTTTTATAGCCAAGCATTCCATCATAGATTGTACAAAAACATTTAAAACATACTTATATTCCTAACTACTTATTATATGTCACAATTGACCACATTTCCTATGCATGATTTTACCAAAACCTTTGTATAGCTAAGAAAAGTGTAAGATGTGTCCCACATAGCTCATAAAGAACATCACCCTGCAGTTGGTCACAACAGAGAGCCTCTACAGGCATTCTAAGCTCCATGGTTTGGCCAGCTTTTATGTTTCCTGTGCTACTTAAGTGGTAGGAGGCAATGCCACCTGTATCAATAGATCTCCATGCCGCTGTCTCTTTTTTTTTTTTTTTTCCATCTGCCATATCATAGGTGTGGTGTAGTCAGACACCAATGTGATAACTGTGTGAGTTTCGACATACCTAAGAAAAATGGGAGCCTAGTGATCAAACCTGCATGGAGGGCCACTGCTACACAGCATTTCAAACATGTTGCTTCTGTTGTTTTAAGCTGAGTGTTACCAATCAACTTCAGAACAAACTTTAGGGTTTCTTCTGATCAATGACTTTAAGAAAAGTAAAAAATATTTAAAACAAGTATTTCTGTTGCATTTAAAAGAGAGAAAACAGGAAAAAAAAAACCCAAAGCTTGACAGTGCGTGATTGAGTGAACTTGATCACAGGGCATTAATTTCCTTTAAGCAAAGATGGAGTGCTGCTTGCACAGAAGCCTGGGCAATAATTATAGGCTGACCACTGCATTAATTTAAGACAAGCACCCAAACTATTAGAAGCAGGTTCAGATGTTTCACTACACTGCCTTTGACCCTAGAAGTATGTGTGAAAGTTTGCAGCATTCAGCAATGGATTCATGTGCATATGTTAAGGCAGGGCAAATCCCACTTACATGGCATTACATGAAGCTGCAGTGGAGGATTCATGTCATCGGTCTCACTAGGAACAGGCTTTGCCTCTGGCTTCAGAAGAGGCTGTGGGCAGCAATAGGAGAAGGAAGCAATGAAAGAGGGAACATATTTGCCTGGTTTCAAGGCACAGGCAAGTTTCTTGGTCAGACCTCTACCACACAGCCACAGGTGGCATGTTGCCTTTCTGGATATTGTGGCGATGCCTGGATATCTTCTCACCAGAGGGTCTGAGCACCGGAGTTCTCCCAGGGGGCTGGGGTACAGGTGTCCTCACTGTGGCCTCAAACCAGCCGTGAGGGTAAAGCACGCTCCCAGTTCTTTTCTGGGGACAGCAAGGGAGGAAAATCCAATTTACTGGCATCAGGCATATTTGAAAGCAAACACCAGTAACCAGCTATGTGCATGGCAGGAGATGTGCTGTCGAAGGCTGCGTGTCCTCAGGCAAACCAAACCAGGCAAACGTTGCATTGGTCCTTTCCAATTCCCAGCCACGCCTGCTCGCAGCTCATTCCGCTGTCCGGCTGGCCCTGCCTCGTCCCAGAGCCTACGTGCCCAGGGAAGATGGCCCTGGCCTGACGAGGGGGGCTGAGAACTGAGGCAAAGATGAGGCCGCTTGGGGCTCGCAGTTTATTTTTTTTGTAAAGTATCTGTATTATTAGTAAATTGTTATTGATAACATTTTCCCCGGAGTTTCTATGCTTACA